TCAGTCACCTTTCAATGGCTCCCTTAATTATGCGCGAGGAATTTCCCTCTTGAGGAATAGGTATTGGATGTTGGTATGCCCAGGCACTCTAATTATTGATTGTGCAGCTCTCTTCTATTAGCGACTAAGAGAAAAAGGGCACATGAACAGTACTCGATTGATGAGCCAGCCCTCTACACTATAGATTGTTGGTCCGCCCACCCTCTAGAATGAATCAGGGGAAGGCAGCAGTGGAGTAACGGGGGATCCCGAAGCGAAGGGATCAACCCCTTCTTTGTTGGTACTTGATTCTATCTTATATCTCACATTTCAGGGGGATCCTTTATCCCTATTTATTATTGTAATGGAAGCATTAAATGGATTGATGTTGAAGGCCAAGGAGCTCCAGTTGGTAAAAAGTGTTTCAGTGGGTAGAGGTGTCAATTTGCTTGAAATATCACATCTATTTTTTGCTTATGACACTTGATTTTCTGCCAACCAGATGTGGGTATTCTGCGACACCTAAGATGCATCCTTTTATGCTTCCAAGCTGTCTCAGGACTAAATATTAATTTGAAGAAATCTGAGACTGTCAGATTTGGGGGATAAGGAGGATGAAAACCAGCTGGCTAAGGTACTAGGGTGTAAGATGGTCAAGCTCCCAATCAAATACCTGGGAGTTCCACTTGGGGCAAAGCACAAAGACATGAAATCATGTAAGCTAGTGATAGAGATGTTTGAAAGAAGACTTGTCGATTGGAAGAGAAATTTCCTATCCAAGGGAGGTAGATACACTCTAATCAAAAGTACATTTGTTAACCTCCCCACTTATTATTTTTCTACCCTCACGATTCCAATAAAGGTTGCTAGAAGGTTGGAAGCAATCAAATGCCTTTTTCACGGGGCGATGAGGAGGGGAATAGGAGATATCATTTGGTTAATTGGGGTGAAGTCAAAAACCCATTCAATCAAGGTGGATTGGACATTAGATTCCTTGTAGAGATGAATGTGGCCTTTCTTAAAAAGTGGTTGTGGAGATATTTAAATGAGAAAGACAGGATGTGGAGGACGATTATTGAGGTGAGGTGGAGCGAGACAGAATTAGAAGACAACATGGAATAGGGCTGTGGAGGAAAATCTTTATGGAGTGGCCTTGTTTTGAGGAGTGCACTCAGTGGAAAATTGGGAGTGTGACAGAATCAGATTCTGGTTGGATGAGTGTATGAGCCCGATTGCCAAGTATTTTTGCAATCACACAATCTAGAAACATGGTTGTAAAGAAGACTTACAAGGAAAGCAATGGCAGCAGGGCTTGGGAGGTGAATGTTTCCAGAAATTTGAATGATGGGGAGGTTCAGGAGTATGAAGCTCTTCTGCATCTTCTGGAGTTCCAACAGCTTAATAATGAACCAGATCAGGTGCTATGGAAGTTGAGTCAGAATGAAAATTTTTTTGTTACGTCTTACTACAACCATATTAGGAGGGAAAGGTCTGAAAGGAGCCACAATTTCCCGATTAAACAGATATTGAAATCAAAAACACCTCCTAAAATAGTTTTTTTCGCTTGGGAGGCCAGTAGGGAATGTATACTGATCATTAACGTGGATCGTGGTAAATGATAATCAATTATTGTATGGTACTCCACGAACGTGAAAAAATCATATTCGTTTCAACTTCCAACTTGATGAAATAGTAGTAAATGGTATCCGACTAATAAATTTGAGATGAATTTTAAAACCATCGAATCGGTGGTACGTGACCGACAAATAATTTTTTTTCCGTTATACCCTCATAAAATATACTTAATTCCAGTTACGCCTTCAAATAAAAACCTTATTTTTCTTCTCTTTTTCTCAAATTAACTCATTATATGTGATTATTTCAAATACATTTTAATTTTTTATTTATCGAAATAATTTTAGATTTAATATAATAGTATATAATTACAACCATTTGTTTTTAATATGTAAATAATTTTATTTTTATTAAAATTAAATTAATATGATAATATAAATAATAACTATTTATTTTATCAAATATAAAAATTTAATTTGATTATGTGTAATAATTATTTATTTAAATACAAATTTAATTATATTCTTATATAATTTTTTTTTAATTACATATTTCTTATATACTATTTACTATTACATATAATAGGTAGGGGTAAATTAATAATTTAACTAAAAATACAACTATATTATCTTATCATCCAAACAAACCGTTGCTATTAACATACATTAACACGCAATCATCCAAATATAAAAAATTTTACCATTGCCATTCTGTATCATTATCATCTAATCACTGTTATTGTCATACACTAATTACCTATCACTAAAATTTATTCAAACAGAGGGTAACAAGCTGATGTCTAGAGGCCATATTCTTGTCAACAGATGTTACCTATGTATGAATGCAAAGGAGTCATGTAACCATCTTCTTTTATGGTGTCATGTGACTTATGATATGTGGTGCATGATTTATGGGCTTTTAGAGATTAATTGGGTGATGACAGGTAATTGTTAGGGAGGAAATTTTGGCTTGGGGTGGATTATATAAGAAAAAAAGAATGTACTAATTTGATTCCATTGACTATTTTTTGATTATACGAAAAGAGATTAACTATTGACCTTTTGAGAGTAAAGAATTTGACTTATAAGTTGAGAGATAGGTGGTTCCATGTTTTTGGTTCTATATTACTGGGCATAACAAAATTAGGGATTAAAATTTTGGAAATATCATTAATACTCTAACACGATTGTAATTTTTTTGTACGTGGGTAGTACCTCTTTGGTACCCTGTTAATATATATACCTCATATTTTTTATTTAAAAAAAAATAGTGCGATAATATAAATGCACTAATCATTACATGAGGTAAAACAGGAGAATTCAAAGAATGAAGATTCTTAAGAATAATTGCTTTCGAGGATATAGAGCCCTGAATGCATTTCAACATTGTCAATCGTCTTCCCCGAGCATAATCTTAAAATTCAACCATGGTGGAACCAAATTTAGCAATAACTCTCAATTCTCGAGTTAATTTGCTTGCTAACAATAAATTGCAACTTAATTCAGGAACATAGAACACAGGGTTTAATTCTATATTTTTATATAAACATACAATGCCTTTTTCAACTACCATTTGATAAAGATCTGTCTGCAATTTTGATATAGATTTTTGCTTGACATAGTTCATATGTCTTGAACAACTTTAGATTACCAGTCATGTAATCTGAAACTTTGTGACAATCCACGCATTAACTGAATTTTAAGGACTAAATGGAGCATCAGTTAGGTTATCTGAATGAGATATGATCCAGTACCTGTTGCTAGTGTTAGTTGATGGGCACTCATTAAGTTATTTAAATATTCCAATGCTTCTTACTGAATACCATCTTCTGCTCATCTATTTTTCCCTCAGCATCCACGTCCACCAGACCAGCCACATTCCCTCTGATTTCTCTCTCCAGATTTCCTCGTCTCTTTCTGTCTCTTGGGTTTCAGTTTTCTTTCCTTCAACTGGCCGACAATAGATTTTCCAGCAAGAGTGGTTGGATCTCTCGCAAAGCTCGCATCAAAGCCCTTTTCTGCTTCGTTCCTGTGACACTGTGTGTGGCCCCTAAACAGAAAATGCCAAGCTTTCTGGAGCCGAGACTGGTAGTCAGTTCCCAACCATTACCTTTGTCCTGGCTTTCCTCCAGACATACTTCAGCAAAGGCCTTGCAGATCCTGAGAATTGGTCTGGTTCCTAAAATCCTTCCCCGAACTTTGTCCAGTTCTACGTTGAGGCCAAAAAGGAATTTGTACAGCCTCTTCTTCTCCATGATTCGTCTGTACTGGAGCCCATCTCTGGAACAGTTCCACCTTTGTTCCTCATACAAGTCGAGCAGCTGCCAATTCCGCAACAGGGCATTGAAGTACTGAATCACGGTCAGGTCTCCCTGTTGCAGGTTGTGGAGCATACTCTCCACTGCAAAAAGCTCCTATGTGTTGTCTGTCTTTGAGAAAGTTTCACAGCTAGCATCCCAAATATCCTTCCCCGTCTTGAACAGAAGAAAATTTTCTCCTATCTTATTCGTCATCAGGTTAATAAGCCATGACATGATCACACAGCCTTCAGCCTTCCATACCTGATATCTTGGGTTGTTGATGGCCAGTGGATCAGTGGCTCCTGTGAGGTGGTCCTCCTTTCCTGTCCCAGACATAAACATCAGGACGAATTGCTACCAAGGTAAGTTTTGGTCGTTTATGTCCAGCAATGGACATTGCCGAATTCTCCATGTTATTGTTCCCTAGTGGAATGTTTGCTGTTGGATTCACGCTTTTTCGACTTTGAACTTAGGAGATGGCTAGTCGTTTCATATTTTGGCACGTCAAATGGGTTTTAGGTTAGATGGGTGAGAGAATCATGCTCTGATATCATGAAGAAAGACTAAATTTTTATTTATAGTTTTCTTCCACATTATTCTGCAACTTATGATACCCAGTTGATATCCCTTAAAATCCAAAAAAATACTCTAAATAATAAAGGAAAATTTCCCTTTTTTTATGATTCTAGCATATATTTCTCTACCTATTTTTTCTCCTATGTCTTCTCACATCAAAACATTCTTTTCCTTCCTATTTTCCTCCTAAATTTTCTCTTAATATTTTTGCAGTTAATTTTGAAAATTACATATGGTAAAATGTACATAACATTAAATGAAAAATGGAAACGCAAGACAGTATCAGTTTGTTAAATTAAATGCTAACAAGTTAAAAACAATCATCGAAGCAGTCAATTAAACCACTACACAGGAAAACTTAACTAAAATACTTCTCTAACAGAGTTAAGGGGAAAATTAGTCTGTTATACACACAAAAAACACTGACATCAATTCTCTGAGAAGAAAATAATAGCAAGATCACTCATAGCAATGCCACAGACTCCAGTTGGTTTAGGTAGGCAAATACATCAAGTTAAAGATAGGGTCAATTCAAAAGCATCCAAACAAATTATAGCACCAAGAAAATGACCTGTTTTCCGAGCTTTCCACAGTGAAGTTGTTGACAACTAGGTTCCTGCATTCGTATTGGCATTAAAGATTTCCACGTTAGTTTCGTCACTGATAAGAATGTTGGATAAAAGCCCAAATCTGTGTTGAGCATACACCACAGAAGATGCCCTTCAAGTATGTGTAAAAATTTTTTTATTTAAAGCATCATGGGCGAGGGGGGGTTTTTGCAAATAGACTATCTTCTATGACGCTTCCGCCATCTCCCTTGTTGCAACTGTTAAACCAACAATCAAGGGCATGCAAGCATCTATCTCCTACGATGTGTTTGATTCAATTATTATTCAGTTTCCTAGTTAGTTCCTAGTTCTAATTTTCCTTAGACTTATTATGTTTAACTAGAACATATCTTGTTATGTTTAAGTTACTAGCATACCACCTTGA